TGCATTAAACCAATTAATACAGAGAAAAAGCAAACAAACATTCAGCAAACAACTCATTATCTCAAGTCTTCTGTGTACCAGGAGTCACATGTTGAAACTGTCTGTGGAAGCACACATAAACCATGGTCAAATTCAACCCAAAGACTAATCCAAAACATTACTATGCAGCCAGCTGAAACTGTTCTTTAACTCACCAAAGCAGAATCAGAATACACAAGAATTTTCTATACATTTCCTATCTGGAGAGCCTTCTGTTCAGCATCTTGCAATAAGAATGTCCTGGTTTAATCTGGCTGGCCACTAAACACCAGGCACTGGCTCACTTACTCTACTCCACCTCTGGGGGATGGGGAAGAGGGGGAAAAGGGAAGGAGACTTGTGGGTCGAGATAGCAACAATTTAATAACTAACATAAAATAAAATTTAAAGCAATAATAATAAAAAGTTAATAATATATGATAATATACAAAACAATAATAATATATACAAACGAGTGATGCACAGCGTAATTGCTCACCACCCACTGACCAACGCCTGACTCATCCTGACTAGTGATCCTGAAACAAAGAAGTCCCTAAACCGCAATCCTCGAAGAGCGAGAGCCCCGAAGAGAGATCCAAAGAAGGCCAGAGAGAGAAACTTCCTGGCCAATCCTCATCTATATACTGCACATGACACTACACGATATGGAATGTTCCATTGGCCAATTTGGCCTTCCATCCTAAATTCGAATCATAAACTAGGAGTTGTGGGTCCTTTGTCCCGGCCATGCTCCACCCCAGCCTGTTGTGCTCCTGCACACTGGTAAAACATGGGAAGCTGAAAAGTTCTTGATGTCTCAGCACCAATGACAAACATGAGTGTGCTATCAACATTCTTCTCCTAACAAATCCCATGCTAACTCCAAACCACGGTACTGTTCTAGATACTAAGAAAACTAACTTTATCCCAGCTGAAACCAGGACAAAAAGCTAAGGTTCTTCCTCTTTCATCTTTCTATCACTTTACACAATACAAAACTACATACTGTCTTTGAAAAGCTGGACCATAGAAGTAAAATTCACTGTTAAAGTTCTCTTACAAACTTACCTCTGCTAAAAGCTGATTTTTTTTCTCTCTCTGACAATGTGACTGAAAGCTGTGCAAAGTCAGGATGGATAGACTTGCTTTCTCATGCCTTTTCATGTGCAAGAATACAAAACAGAAAGTGTTTGACCTGAATTTCACAGAAACACTGAGATGAATCAGCTCTCTGAAACATTTTTTTGCATCCTGCTTCCTGAGGGTATTTGCTATCTAATTAACCCGTGTATTCACTCAAAAGCTAACAGAAATGAACAAAGAAATAAATAAGAATTTTGAGACTCACTCTCTCATTTCTGAAACACAGCTGCCCTTACTCCTCTCTACTCAAACAACCAGTTCAGTTAGGCTTTTCTAGACAGTTACAAACAGCATCATCATTGCTCCTCTTGAATAAAGAAGCTTTCCCTTTACTCACAAAAGAAAAAAGAACACACTCACCTGATTTTCAGCAGAGATTAAACACAAACACTTTAGGTTTGGATCCTTCAGAAGCTGAAGCTAATGGGAAAGCTCTAGCCAGTGTTTGTGGGCTCTAAAAGCTTCTTTACTGCTTAGGCAATAAAGTGGCGGTATTTAATGGTAGGATGGCCACTCATCTGCTTTGGACTGAATCACTAAGCCATTGCAGGAACTCACTCACCATTAAACTTCCAACATGTTGCTGCACTGTGTTTGAATCAACAATCAGTTATGAGAGGTTTGTCATTCCATCCCAGATCACATACTGTCAATTAAAACTTTGTAGTGTTGGACTTACAAAGCAAAGCTATTGCTTCAAAATTGCATAGTGTTAGAGAAAGGAAAACTCATTGCATAATCTCAACAACAAATGGTGACCAAATCCTCCTGTTTTTTAAAGCACTGAGAATGTAACTTGGCTTGCCAGCCACCACTTTCACTTCCATGACAACTTTCATCTGGTGAGAACGAGAAACACTCTCAGTTTCATTATCTCAATTGGTCTTGGGAGAGTTACTTCAGAGATGAAACACTGTGAATAATGTTGTGGTATTTGTTAGATTGGATCATAACTCCTTGAAATTTGTGCTACAGTAGCACCCACCCTCTTTCCACAAAAAATTAAATTTGACTATTGATAACAGATATTTTGCAGTCTCCTCTCATATCACAGTAACGGCAGCAGAACATGACGTACATCTGTGTCAAAGGCAATAGAAACCAGCTTCTGATCCTTTATGACAGGTCCTGGCTATACAACGGGGCAATAAAGAACGGCATTGTGGCTCATGGTGTTTGGTTTGATGGTATACAGAGCCAGTGTCCTGAATGCTCTTCTGAACTAGGCACTTAATATATGTCTGTCTTGGTATGGGCAGCTCAGGGAGACAACTCCTTCCAATGTTTCAGTTTCGCTTCCTTTTTTTGAGAGCAATGTATTTCTGAAGACGTGTGACAGTCACCAACAGGTTTTCCTGAGGGACTACTCCATGGCATGAAGAATGCAATTGGGTGAATTCCCTTGCTGGCAGAGCCATGACTGAGGATGGTAACCTCAGATTTGGGGCTTATCTCAGAGGAGAGAATTAGACCTTCACAAGCTCCATCCGTCAGCACTGCAGCAATCAATGCTGTCCCCAGCCTTATGTAGGGAACATGCACATAT